TATTTATTTATTTAATATCCCGCCTATCTGGTCAGTTATGACCACTCTAGGCGGCTTACAACATAAATGTCAACATAAATTGATGACACATAACAACACCATATCAACGCCCGAGTACCTGCATGGTAGCTTTTCGAAAGAAGACTGGTTTAGGCAAAGCTATCTTTTCAAATTTAACAAAGTCATTTCCTGCATTTGCCTTCTTCTTCTTTTGCTGGATGGCAGGGCCACCTGTTTCCTGCAAAGAAGATAAATAAAAGAGTTGTTGTAAACAGAAGAGCATTTGCAGAATCAGAGTGCAATAATGCAATAATTAACAGAACTGTCTTTAGCTCTAAGAGGGCTGAATTAGGATCTCAATGTGTCAGTTACAGGAGGAAAAGAAAGGGTAAGGAACTATTAGTAACACAAACAGCATCTGACACATGGCCGCCTTGCATATCTAAAATCCAGAAATGCATGGAGGCAGAACACTACTCTTCAACATGCATGTAACACAGAGCACAAAAGCATAATGTTTAGGAGGTACATGGCTCTTCCATGTTTGTGAAGCTGGATCGTGTGCTATGCATCCCCTGGGATGTAGCCTCTATGGTAGTTATGTTCTAGGAAACTGATCAATACAACAGCTAGAAGGCTTTCAAAGAAATGGGATGGGGGACACAGGGAACCAGTACAGTATCTGTTTTTTAATAGTCCCTTTTTGGAGAAACCTCATTTACTCTCAAACGGATGTGACATCTTTGCCATTCATGTGTGATCTCAATGATTCCTGCTTTTCTTCCTTAGACATTAGGGCCCCAAATATCACAAGTCCTTCAGTAAAACTGGGCAGCTTCATAACTTATGCTGAAAGGACTTGAGTTGTCTCCAATCTAGGAATTTGCTTGAATGTACAAGTATCAGTAAATTAGGCAACCAGAACACACAACACAATGTCCCAAATGTCACATGGCCCTTCAGGCTGTTGGAATAACCAGGGTAGTTGCTGAGGTGGAGCCAGAGACTTTAACCCTGGCAAGAACAGTGTTCAGCCTGGCTTATTTTCTTTAACTATCTATTTGAATGCATTTTATGCCATCTTCCTCCCAGTGAAGGGACCCAAGGCATTATTAAAAAAAAACACACAACTACTTATAACACAATAACTTACTGCATAACAAGAAACATAATACTATTAAAACAACTTGTTAAAACCATTAAACACTCATTAAAAATAAAGTAATATTCATGTGCAGCACCCAAAATCAAAACTCAGCAATGCCCAATAAGTTATTAAAAGCCCGTCTAAAAAGGATGGTCTTCACCTACTGCTGAAGGACAAGAGGGAGTGGCCCCATCTAGCGTCCACTTAGGAGGACCTCTCTCTTTCATTCTCATTCTCTTTCATCTAGGGACGTAGCGGGACTGAAACAAGGGCCTCTCCTGAAGATCTTAAGAGCCAAGAACAATGAGGTCCCTGAATTTGTTATAAGTACCAGAAATGAACATGGCTAGTAGTTTCCCACTCAAAACTGTTACTGCTGCCTATCACATTCTCCCCTCATTTCAGCAATGGAAGAATTAGGATCCAGAGCTCCTTGCATGCGTACTATAAATCACCCCACAGATGGACCCACAAACTCCAATTTACCATCTGTCTGCCCAGCTGTAATGAGCTCCACCACTGCCCCGTCCAAGTTCGGCATTCCTGAAAGCTTCTGTTTCTACAAACAGAAATGTAATGGCAAGATGGGTCAACTTACCTTGGTTTTGCTCTCTTTGTTTTCAACTTTAAGCTCATTTCCTAGTGTGGAATTTAGGACTTCCTTAATTTTCCTTTTCTTTTTCAAGCTGATTAATTTCTGCTTGGTACATCTGATCTTCATTAAAGTCCCCAACTTTTTCTTCTTCAATTTCACCCTTTGGTACACTATTGATTTTGACTCTGCAAATCTATCCTTCTTTGGCTTCTTAACCTCCTCTTCAGAAAACACATTTCCAGTGATAACCCTGGCCTCCAATTTCCGTTTCTTCTTAATAACTTTACTATCACAAAATACTGTATCACAGTCACCTGGATTGTCTTCAGTATTAATATTAGCCTGCCCATTTTGATGGACAGTTTCTATACAAACATTCTCTGGACTACCATTTTCCTTCTTTGGTTGTTTCATTACCACACCCTTTGGTGTTGATGTGTCAGTGAGCCCTCCTGTGGTAGTTGGCACTTGACTGGCCTCCAGAATTAAAGACTTCTTCCCTCTTTTCTTACTACTTGGTGCTTCATGGTCCTGGACAGGCTCTTTGAATTCATTCAAACTAACTGCTCCATTCTCAGTACTTGTGGCAACTGCACAAGTGTCAGCCATCTGACTGGCTTTTCTTTTTCGCCTCTTCCTTTTTTTCTGTGGCCTTGGATTCACCTCTTCCTCCTCCTCCTCCATGCCATTTTTTCTGTTTCTGGCATTCTCTGTCAAGAGAAATTGAATGGCTTTAGAATTAAAAATGATCCAGTTTAGTAGCCGCCCTATATCTCTGTTTGTGCAAACTGGGAGCACAGTTCTATATTTGTTTCAAATAAAGGAGGTACTGGTCTGATTCCAACAAGGCAACAATTGCCTTATCCTTACAAACTACTGACTGATAAGGAAAAAAGAGAAAAACATTATTATTGTGACTGATTTTCACATCTGAACTCTTTATATTTTTGCATAATGCCTGCAAAGCCCCAGTTCTCAGTCCACTCTCACAATCCAATAACAAGAGACACTTCTAATTTTCCAATGAAAGACCTCAGACAGCATTCAGTAAGAATTGACGACGTATTCCAAGAAAAAAAGAGAACATGGTATAATCTTATAAATGTCTGCTTTAATATAGGGTATTATTATAATATTGTGTATTAATATTTTTAATGTTTTTCTAAAGTTTTAATATTGTTATATGCTGCTCAGAGAACCATTGGTAATGGCGCGGCTAAAAAAAAACTTGTAAATAAGAAACAAGCACTTTAGAGGCCAATGAGGCTTATTCCTAGGAAAGTGCATGTAAATTAGCAGATTGCATAAGCAGTTAATCGCTGCTACCTTCTTTTTCCAGCCTAGATTGATCTAAGGGTTTGCCAGATTTTCTCTTCCATTTCTTCCTGCTGAGTGTATCATCATCTTCATCTGTAGAGACATCTTCTGGAAAATCGTCTTGTGGAAAGGTCCCTGGCATGAAACAATGATGGAATGAGAGCTACAGCAAAAACAAACAATATTGTGCAAACCCTTCCCCTATGCTGCATACACCAGTGCTCTCTCTTTCACTCACGTCTCTCTTCCACCACCATTTTACGTCAAGCAAACCAAGAGCACAAACTGTAAATCTGCAATAAGCCACTTGTGGGTTTCCAGGCCAATATGACAGGGACTGGATTTTCCTTCCACTCACTAGGGTACTTCACAGAAGCAAAATACTGCTGAAGCCTCACCTTCTGAAAGGTCTTGGAACCTGGAAAATAAATAGAAAAAAGGGCCTCATGTTAATGACATTTAACCAGAAATATAGAACTATGAAGAAGATGTGTTTTTTTGTGGGAAACACTGAGAGAGAAGGAATACGGTTCTGGGCTTAATTATGAAGGGAAGAGGAGATTTCTGGGCAAGACAAACCTATCGGGGTTTATTTCAAAGGGAACTTACCTTTTAACAACTTTGTACAAGCGCTTTCGGTTAGAAGCAGGGGTGTTTTTTCTGCTAGCCAGCTCAAACAGTGTATCAGCAATGTTTTTATAATCAAACTGTTAAAAAGAAAGAAATGGATTACAGTCACACCTAATCAGCAATGCTTAGTTATTCAATTCAGAGACCAAGTTTGGAAATGTTAGTTTCTGGTACACAACTCCTTTGACCATACTTGTTACAGTTTTCTGAGAATGGTAGTCTACAAAGTCACTTTTCCAAACTCCGTCTAGAACTCCTATTCAGTGTTCTACAACTCTCCCAACTGGACATTTTTAACAGATAAACTAGCCTAGCTGCTATCTTGCTACACACTTTTTCTCCAGCAATCCAAGGTCACTCATATTCCTGCTTTGTGCTTTCACCTCCAGCCCAATACTGTACTGACTGAACCCAGAGCTGCCAGGCTTCCTTTTCAGAAGTCCCAATAAGGTCAAGATGCAAATTTCAGGAACAGGCTTGACTCTTTATAGGCCAGGACATCCAGGACTACCCTATCCCTACACACACAGGCATCTCAAGCACTGTAATCTGAGAAACAGTAATTTAATCTGTTTTAATATGCTATTTTGCCTGTTTCCAAAGATGCAATTCCTGCAGGCTAGTTTATTATTTATAGGAAACTTAGGGAAAAATAGTCCATGTAATTCATCAGTAAATAATCTTTGCAATTTAACATTAGTGTTCAACTCTTACATAAATTAGTGTCTTGCTGAAAATGATACCTACCTGAAGGACAGGCCCAATGTTATCATCTGCACCTTCTAAACGGCTACCTTGTGCCTCAGAAGATGGTGAGAGCTTATTTGACAAGTCCCTGTCTGCATAATAAAGAAAAATCTAATGAACATTTTGTAGATCTAAGTATGACAATCCCCAAAGCAAAATATACAAGACACTTAACTGAATCCCTTCATAACTGAGTCAGCCACTGTTTCCATACAATGTTTCATACGCATCACTGCTCTGATGACAATATACATGCTCACTACCTTTGACCCTCAAAGGAGTGAAGAGGAAGGCACACAATGGCCAGCATCTGAATACAAGTCCCATTTAATCTCCACGATCCCAATGGGATTTAGCCAAGCAATGTCCTACCATTCAGCAACAAGTGTACAGTGGTGCTTCGCTTAGCGATGTTAATCCGTTCCAGGGAAAACGTAGCTAAGCGATTTCATCGCTAAGCGATTTTAAAAAGCCCATAGAAATGCATTAAAACGCATTTAATGCGTTCCTATGGGCTTAAAAACTTACCTTTCAACGAAAATCCTCTATAGCGCCGCCATTTTCGCTGCCTCTTAAGCGAGGCAAAACAGCGGGCAGCCATTTTCTTTTTCCAGCAGCCATTTTGAAACCGTCAATCAGGTGGCCGAAAATGGGGGCTTTGCGATGATCGCTTCCCTGCGATCATCGCAAAGTGAATTTTCCCCGTAGGGACCATCGCTAAGCGATCGCTATTGCGATGGCAAAAAGTCCATCGCTAAGCGATTTCGTCGCTCAATGGAGCGATCGCTAAGCGAGGCACTACTGTATTCTGTGAGTCTAACTCCAGCTGAGACAGGCACCAAGGAGACATGGCACCAAGAAATAGAAATACTCAAAAGGTTCAAGGATAGGTCTCAGGACAACAGGATAACCTAAACATTTGACAGTGGCCAAGTTACAGCATCACCAGCTTTATCTCTTTACTGCTGCTTACTCCTATAAGTCTACTTCCTGCCTCTTTATATTGTCCTCTATCGCAGCTAGTGTCTAAGCAGAAACATTTCTTATTTTTTGACTGAAATCCTGTTGCTTAGCATAGTAGCTTGCAAGAGTAGGCCCAATGAATCAACAGAGCTTTTGGAGAAACTGACTGACCAAATCCCCACTGATTTAATGCTAAGCGACAGGATTTCATCTAGTGAATTATTTATTTATTTAACTGAATGATTCCAGGAATCCAATTCTAAATGCAGTACCAGCAAAAACATGGCTAGAGGACAAGATAATTTTTTTGCTGTACCAAGTTCCAGTGCTGCAAACCTAGGGTGATCAAGCAGGAAACAACATCTAAGTGAGGTGATAATAAAACACAGTAAAACATTGCTTGCCAACCCAGAAGACATGACACCTGAAAGTGTGGATGAGGTTGTGAGATTTTCATAAGGAAAATGGATATTATCAGCTTACACATTTTTTGGGATAAATATCATTACCCAAATTTAGAATTCCTCAAGGAAACTCTATTCATGTTTCTCCTCATTTCAAACATTTTCATTATGTGTTTGTGTTTGTTTAAAATTACAAACTGAAACTTTTATTCAAAAGTTTGGAGGATGGTAAAGGAGAAGTGGCAAGGTGTGACTCTTTCTAAAAAAATCAAGAGGAAGTTGTGATGGCAAAAAACACTGGAAATCTCTTCTGTAGAAAGGTTTTTTAAAAAGCAACTACCAATAGTAGAGGACAGAAAATCTGTATAGCAAATCCACACCGTCATCTAACTGTTATGGCAAATGGGTCCACTGGAAGATTTCTAGTATATATCATTAATTGATGACTTCAATTTCTTACAATTGTCTACACAAAGTGTGGATAGATGGCAGACCTCCAGGTTTGTTCATTTATTTGTTGAACAGCAACCTCCAGCATTCCTCATCACTAGATACACTCACTAGGGCTGCACACTAACTTCTGGACTCATATCAAAAAGGCAGACATTTAAACCAAAGCTCACTTTCCTTGTGAGTGAGCAACTACATCTGAAACTCACTGAAACCACAAGCAGCCCTCAAAGGAAAACACATAACCAAAGGGCAGTCTAAAGGTTACCAACGCAAGCATTGCAATGACCGAGGCCTTACCTTTTGCTATTAGCTTATTCTCTTCATCATTGCATTCATCTTCTGAAATGTCATCATCACTGCCTGCTTCCAGTTCTTTCATTAGATCTTCTATGGCAAACGGGGACTGATCCACAATGGTTTCAAAGATGCCACGGCTTATAGCTTGCAACAAAAGGTGACTAAATCATGAAGGGAGAAGCAAACAAAAAGAGAAGAAAACAATAAGGCAATGATAAAGACAATCAAGTTTATGCGCCCTCTCCACTAAGGGCATCAAAAATGTAACTCGTTAAGATAACTAAATGATGAATTTCGCAAAAAATTAAAGGAGCAACTAAGTCATTTGCATGGATTTTGAGTCAAGAGCTGTCAGCTTTGGACTTATCTGTTATTTTCTCTAATATTCTGATATTACTGTGCTAGCACCTTTTTTATTATCAGTAGAAAGACATGACTGTGGTTCCCATAGCTACCACACTTTCATTTTCAGGCACACAAAAGAAAGCATCAGGAAAATGAACATGCTGTTATCTGTCTCTTAATGACCTGTGTTCAATTACAAAACTGTTCAGACTTAATTCGCTATTATAAACACCACATCCTGACTTCCAAAACAAAACAAAAAGTTAGTAAACATAGCTGCAGTACATACTCCTTAGTCTTGGCAGCAATTTTGCAGAATGGTTCAATGAACTTGAGATTCTGGTCTGCTGTGAGCTGTAAGAAAGAAAGCGCTTTTTAAAATTTTTTTGAGTCTTTCCATCAGAACGTTTACTTCAACATCGGTCACGTTCAACTACAGTATATAAATTACAGTCATGTGAAAAAGAAAGCACACAATCTTTGAATTCTATGGTTTTACGTATCAGGACATAATAAAAATCATTTGGTCCTTAGCAGATCTGAACAGTAGGTAAATACAACAACCTTAGATGAACAACACACAACATATTACATTGTGTCATGAACGTTTACTTCAACATCGGTCACGTTCAACTACAGTATATAAATTACAGTCATGTGAAAAAGAAAGCACACAATCTTTGAATTCTATGGTTTTACGTATCAGGACATAATAAAAATCATTTGGTCCTTAGCAGATCTGAACAGTAGGTAAATACAACAACCTTAGATGAACAACACACAACATATTACATTGTGTCATGATTTATTTAACACAACAACCTTAAATGAACAACAACACGCAACATATTACATTGTGTCATGATTTATTTAACAAAAATAAAGCCAAAACGGAGAAGCCATGTGTGCAAAACTAAGTACACCTTATGATTCAATAGCTTGTACAACCACCTTTAGCAGCAATAACTTGAAGTAATTGAGTTCTGTATGACTGTATCAGTCCCTCATATCATTGTGGACGAATTTTTGGCCCACTCTTCATTATAATTTTGCTTCAGTTCATTGAGATTTTCGGCGTTCTGTGGATGAATTTTTGGCCCACTCTTCATTATAATGTTGCTTCAGTTCATTGAGATTTTCGGCGTTTGTTTATACTCAGGTCCCACCAGAGCATTTCAATCAGGTTGAGGTCTGGATTTTAACTGGGCCATTGCAACGTCTTGATTCTTTTGTTTTTCAGCCATTCTGTTGTAATTTGCTGGTGTGCTTGGGACAGATGGCCTCACATTTGACTCTAGAATACTTTGGTGTACAGAGGAATGCAGAGTCAACTCAATGACTGCAGGGTGCCCAGGTCCTGTGGCTGCAAATCATCACCCCTCCACCACCATGCTTGACAGAAGGTATGAGGTGTTCATGCTGATACGTTCTGTTTGGTTTTTGCATTATGGTCAAACATCTCCACTTTGGTGTGCTGATATGTTCTGTTTGATTTTTGCATCATGGTCAAACATCTCCACTTTGGTCTTGTATGTCCAAAGGAAGTATTGTGGTTTGTCCAGATGCAACTTTGTAAACCTAAGCCGTGCTGTCATATTCTTTTCAGAGAAGAGGCTTTCTCTTGGTAACCCTTCCAAACAAACCGTACTTGTTCAGTCTTTTTTCTAATTGTACTCTCATGAACTTTAACATTTAACATGCTAACTGAGGTTTGAAGAGTCTGAGATGTAATTCTTGGGTCTTTGGCAATTTCTCTGAGCACTGCATGGTCTGACCTTGGGGTGAATTTGCTTGTCCATGCATGGGAAGACTGGCAACTAACTTGAATAGACCTTGGGGTGAATTTGCTTGTCTATGCATGGGAAGACTGGCAACTAACTTGAATGTTTTCTACTTGTGAATAATCTTACTCATTGTAGAACGATGTACTTTAAATTGTTTGGAAATGGCCTTATAACCCTCCTAGATTGATGGGGTGCAAAAATAGCTGTTCTACAATCATTGTTTATGTGTTGGCACTGCATTAACACACATCTGAATGCTCCAGACCAGCAAACTGCTAAAACTTTGACTTTTATAGAGGTGATCACACTTACTGATGATCAGTTACTCTGAATTCCTATGGAAGCAGTAAAGATGTACTTACTTCCTACTTAGGCTCTGAATTCCTATGGAAGCTGTAAGGGTGTACTTAGTTATCCACACATGGTTTCTCCATTTTGGCTTTATTTTTGTTAAATAAATCATGACATGGTTTACTATGATGTGTGTTGTTCATCTGAGGTTGTATTTACTTAATGTTCAGACCTGCCAAGGAGCAGATGATTGTTATTATGTCTTGATATATAAAACCACAGAATTCAAAGAGTGTGTACTTTTTCACATGACTGTACATGACTTAATGGCAGCTTGAGGAGAATAATGGACTAACATTCCCATATAAAGGGTGAGTGGGGAAATTGTAACTGTTCCATAAATATATCTCTATAATAAAATTCAAAGACAGGGAATATGATACCGAACTTTGAGAAATATGGACTGCATTTATGAATAATTACATAACTAACTGATATCCTGTCAAAATTTTTGAAGTTCTTTGTTTTATATTTATTTATTTAATTTAATTATTATTTAACTTATATGTCACCCACTCTACCCAAAGGTCTCTGGGCAACTTACAACAATATATGATAGATATTCCAGCATTAGTTGATATAGACTACTATAAAGGTTATTACCACCAACATTTTCAATATACTCTGTCCAAAAGGAAAGCAATGGAAAAAATATGAAAAAAATACTCACTTAGTTGGGAAGGAAAACTACCTTGGAGTCCTGATCCAAGGTGAAGAGAATACATGGTTATACTATTTGTGTTGGGCTACAATATGATTTCTAATGATTGTACAGTACTGCTACTATGGAAATCAATAATATAGTGTATACAGTATCCAACCTAAGCAGAAAGGAACACACATTCTTACTTAATTTAAACATATTGGTGTAGTGTTTGCCCTTGTGGCCCCTGCTTGTTTTTCCCTCACAAAGGCTCACACCACTTTATCTTCTCGCTGCCACCAGTGGATTACTTCGATCCACAATATAAATGATATATATCAGAACACTTGTCTTGTGAACAGAAACAGAACTTATTTAGATGCTATGCCTCCGCATTAGCGATCCCGGAGAAGGGATCGCTATGCGAATTCGTCGTTATACGGTGCGTTCGGTATGCGAGGCACCACTGTACTTCATTTCTCTTGCTTTATAATTACCACCTTCTCTCCCTATTTTCCTAATCACCTCTCTCTCTCTCAGTATCTGTTCCTTTTCTCTCTGACTAACCAGCCATATCTGACAACTCCTTCTCCCGTCAAGCCTCATGTAGCTGCTGACTCCACCTCTCCAAGCCTCTCACAGGTTCATGCAAATCAGCTCATGAATATGAATGGCATGAGTGACGTGGGCGATCGTCACAAATGGATTTTAGAATTCTTCTGTAACAAAATTTTAATAATGATGGTTCAAACCATACATTATGAGCAGACCTCTTGTACACTAAACTACTGCGTGCGGTGTTTTGCTTACCTCTTTAGCTCCAACTTTTGCTAGTTCTTCCAAATAGATGTCAATAAAATGCAATTTCACTCCAACAGCAGCATTACTGTCTGGATGCATGACCTCCTTTATTAACATGTTCAGAAATGGCTGTGTAAAACTGGAAAAGGAGAGAGAGAGAAAAATATATCACAAGGCATTCTGTCAGTTTCAGAAATGAGTTTGCTGCTTCTCACGTAGAAAACAATCTGATCCCCTAAATAAACCCAGCACAGCCTGACAGAAACAGTTCCTCCTTGAAAATATAAGCAGGGCAGCAAAAGTTGAACAATGGTGTAGCAACCCAGCCTATAACAGGCACCATACAGCAGTTTGTTTTCATGACGCCACAATTACCTGTCCTTGTTTGAGAGGTATATATTCATACTTGAGAAGTGAACCAGTTAGTTTTACATTTACATGGATTAGCCCCATGTAACCCAATGGCCCCAACCCACTGGATAATCCCCACTAGGAGCAGACAAACGGAATCAATTATTAAATAGTGACACAACACTTATGTAAATTCTAGTGATTCAGTTGGTTCACTAAGTGTATTTAGACCTCTGTATCAGGTGTAGGTGTCACCAGATTTAACTGCAGGGCTAAAATGTTTGCATCCATTCTATTTAACATTAATTTATTAGTCATTTAAGAGAATCTTTACGATTAAAACATATGCAACAAACAGTATTTATCCATTTGATCTGAAGAGGCTACAGCCAGACATTTCATGACAACCTAGTTTCAGACCGTAGCAGGATCTAGAGTTTCTGGATATGCAGTCTGCTGTCTCTAGTCACAACTCTCTTACATTTCTAATCTCGGAGGCTGCAATGCCATATATACATTTACTCCCACACAAGTACCATTTAATTCAATAGCATTTACTACTGTGTAGACATGTACAGGATTTCAAAATTAATGGAGAAGAGTAGTTTCATGTTATATTTGGACTAGAGAAGTCTAGTTGCAAACACTCACTTCTTCACAATGCTAACTGAATGACTTAGGCTGGTCCAGTCCTCCTCCTTACAATGATGGTAATGAGGCTACAACAGAATAAGGCCAGTGGTTCCCAATCTTGGGTCTCCAGATGTTCTTGGACTACTACTCCCAGAATTCCTGGCTAGGACAGCTAGTGGTGAATGCTTCTGGGAGTATTAGTCCAAGAATACCTGGGGACCCAAGATTGGGAACCACTGGGATAGACCATCCTGAGCTTTTCAAAGAAATGGCAGAAGACAACCTTCAAATGATAAAAAATACATTATAAAAGTACTAAGTTCTTTCCAGTTCTAAACATGCTTACAGTCCCTCTCCTACAGTGCTACATACCTTTCATTCCATCCATTTCTTCTTAGGACTTCAAAGGACTGTCTCAGCATCATCCGGATTAACTATGTTAGAAAACGTGCAGCCGATATAAATTTTTCAAGAAATAACATGTAAAATAATAAACTGATCGGTCTCACTGCCGTCTTATCTAACAGTGTAATACTAGAGATAAATAAGGCCCCTGAGTTCAATGGGATTTAGAGTAGAGGTCATTGGGATATTCTGGAAGTTGTCGCCCCAAAACATATTTGTACTTCCCTGCTACAGAGATCGTATACACATGGCTGTAGCAGAATCACTATGCTTACTGTACTGCACATTAATTGCAAGTTGAGCCACATTTCAGAACAGAACAAACGTGTTACCTGCAGTCATAAACATGACCTGTGGAAAACTAGCTGATCTGCATTTAGAAGAATCATGTAGTATTGCTGAGATTGCACTATTTCAGAATGTATTTACTTTAGCATGCTTGACTTATATTTAGCACAGGAAACATTTTTAAAAGCATACTGGTTTTACAAATTGATACGTCCAACACAGGTGGAATGAAAGATGGAATGAAAGAAAAGAATCAATGAAGCTCATTGTGTGCTGCTTTCGAATTTTATCAACACAAATTCAAAGCTTTGCTTGAAAATAACTATTACTGGAACATTATGATATGACAACTTATATTAACTCAACAGCAGATACGTCTCTTGTTTATATGGACCTTGGAAACATTGAGAAATGTGGCACCAAACATGAATGGCTGAGTTCATTCCTTCCTTTACTCATTAATTCTGCGAAACACTTTTCTAGAAATGGAACTTTTTTCCAGTGAACATTACCACTGCTTAAAGGACTGCCTTGTCCTTTTTAATGGTATGATAGTCCTTACCATGTAATATTTATCTAGGCGTAGTCTGTCTATTCCAGTCCATTCACGATTCATTGTTTGCCAGAAAGTCTGAATGAACAAGTTCCCTGTAATGAGATGGTAAAGCTAATTTTAAAGTCCTATACAGTTGTGCTACATTTTATAAGTGGCCAGCTGAAGTTTCTGCTGTTTTTTCCATAAGTCAAAGGGGAAAATGAATTGTTTGTGCTTCCTGTCAAGCAGATATGCTACAGAAAGCAAAGCCATGTGAATCCATAGCATGCTTTAAGGCAGATGGAGAGGAACCTCTGGTACCTTGATGTTGCCCACTGGGCCTGCACACAAGGGCCTCATCGGACTGCACTCCAAAAGCTACTACAAAGGGGAATCCCAGTACATCTCATTGCATGTGCTGAAATGCTGGCTTACAGTGTTTTGCTCCTCCAGTACTACTCTGCCATCCACATGGGAAAGGAGTGAAACTGTGTCCCCAACCAAGGGACCTGGTAGAAAAGCACCCAGGGTCCATCAAGAACCAACTGATGTTGGAAGACATGGCCAACACTGACTATCCTTCCAAGAGATAGAAACACAGAGAAGATTTTACCTTGTGACAATCTAAGCACTTTGCAAGCAGTTTGATGTGCAGAATTACAGCAAAAACTGGCTGTCCAAATTCTGCTCTGGAATGATACAGGCTAAAGAAATTTGTTTTTCTTTTAAAACCAAGACAGACTCTAGAGCACCAGAATTTGTACAATCCCAACTTTTCGCAAAAAAATGCCAATATGCCTAAAACTCTATGAATATATAGGAATTAAACATAAAGAGACTTACGAGTATCCATATTCTCAATTACATGCATAAGTTGTGATATATTGTTTGATAACTCCTCCTAAAAAGGAAGAAGAAATGCATATACACGGTTTCAAAAGTAAATTCCCTTTCAAGAGCAACCCCTGCTCCAGAATGTTGAATTAGCTCCATAATTCCCTTCAGTATCAAAAATCATCTAGGAATTTGGCACAATTTAAGTACCAATATAGTTCAAAAGGTTACATCTATTACAGCAGAGGTTGTCACAACCTGAAATTTAAGGATCCTGACACCATGGTCAATTAAACAAGGGGTCCCCAAGCTGGTGCCAGTCCGTGGGCTTCACAGGACCGGGCCGAGGAGACAGATCTCTCCCCCCCCGCGCACATGTGCATTTGTGCGCATGTGCAGGCACATTTGCGGATGGGCATGGTGCACCCACGTCCTCACTAGTCCGCCACGCCCATCCGCGTACACATGCGAGCACACTGCACCCATCTGCGAACACCCCACACCCATCCACGAGCGCGTCCCATGCCCATCCACGAGCGCGCCCCACTCACCCTCACATGCGCATGAGGACATCACGCCCACCTGCAAGCAGGGGGTGCCCCTGCCCTGCAAACCGGTCAGCAGTTCCAAAAAGGTTGGGGACCACTGAGTTAAATAATATCTATCATAAACTGTAGCGAAACAAGCTTTTTAGACTCAACAGCAGTTTATGTGTTCAAAGGAGACTGAAATTGTAAATGTTTCTAAACTCTGGTAACACTGTTCTACAGTATATGTACACATTATGAAGCACGATTCAACACTCAGAAATATTGCATCTGTTCTTGAACCTTTTCTTTCTAATAATATAGAAGCATATTAGTACATTTTATAACTTTAATAATTTCATATTAGGAAACATAAGAGGTAGTTAAATTTTCATGTAATTTATATTGCAGAGATTATATATTTTCTCTTTTATATATCATTTTGGGGTCCTCAATTTGTGGGAGCATGGGCATATATGACTTGTTCAAAAAGTATTATGGGGTGCAGCTACAAATGGCTGCAGTAGATACCCATTAAGTGACTGGAGATTGCCCCTACTTCCATCTTTTCTCTCACACACTCTCATTTTCTTTCTTCCTCTCACTTGCAAAGCTGCGTGCATGTGCACATACACATGTACACAAGCACACAGAGGCAAAACAAAGAGTGGACTGAAAAGAAGGGCAAGGGAAACAGTGAGGGGGAAGAAAAAAACACAGAGAAAAAAGAGGGCATGTAAACAACAACAATACTAATGGGGGTTGCAACTTTTATCACCCCTCATCTCTGGCTGTATTAGGTAGAGGTGACAGAAGCTGCAGTCAAACAACATCTAGAAGGCATCACATTCTTCATGTCCAGCATAAACTGTTGAACTCAGAATCACCTAAGGACAAATCACTTGTTCTACCTGAATTAACACTGTAGACCAAGTATTTGGAACACTTCACTTTCACTTTCCAAATGTAAAAGAACAGTTGCCTGACCAGACTGTAGTAACATGGACATGGTATCAGTAATCAAACACCCTGTGTGTTAAATCCAAAGGCAAGGGTAAATTATACCCTCTATTAGATCACTAAACGATTAGACCCATGCAGGGCTTCATTGAACCAGATAACTTTATTATCATAATTCATGATTATCATGAAGATCTGCTTCCTTTAGTCTCCCTTAATACATTAAAAAATAAAATAAATTTAATTTAAAGCCATCTGAGCCAGCATTCACTGCTAAATCTGTGAACATGAAGTTGCAGTCCTGTGGCCACTTAAAAATGTCCCCAAGACACATGCCTTCTCAGATGAATATTTCATTAAACAAAATGGGAAATGGAACTTAATTTCAAGCAGGTAATTATTTATTAATTCTATTTACATCTCACCTTCCATAAAGACATGTAGCGAGGTAACAATATTAAAACAGTAAAACAAGATACAGTATAATAAAAATCAGCAACAAGGTAAATCACAGTTATATTAATAATGTGCTTTACAGGGTTTTCCAGATAAAGAATACTCAGAAGTGATTTACCATTTTCTTCTTCTGGGGTTGCCCTGGGACTGTGTAGCTCCTGGGAAGTAGGCATGCTCTACTTCCCAGGAACATAACAGGTAATTGAACTACCAACCTCTGGTTCCACAGCCACATATGCAATTCACTGAGCTATCAGCTGCAGTGACAATTAACAGGTCATAAATGTTCAGATAAACAAACAGGGCTGCATATAAGTGAAAAGCCATAGACACCATCTTTATAATGTCCAAGGGGAGCTGTGTTACCTTGTTGCAGCAAGAACAAGATATTTTGTAGCAACTTGAAAATTAGCAAGTTGGTTTGGAATAAATGTTCACAAACCATCTGTAGCCCACCTCTTCCAAGATACCATCTGAAGAAGTGGGTTACAATCCACCAAAGTGTATGTCTACAAAAACCTTAAGGTGCCACTGGACTTTTTGTTGTCATCTTTCTAATAAAGCTTTATACTATCTGACATACCTGCAGCAATGGTTTGTCCTGCATCCACATACAATAAAAGAGCCCCTTCCATATTTTTAAGAATTCTTCTGGGCTGAAACTGCCTGAAGGGTCAAAAAGATTTATGCATTAAAGAAAGAAGAAGAAATTAGGCTGTTTTACAATACTTCTGTCCACCCGGGCGCCACAGATCTGTTTGCCAGAACAATGTAAGGATGAATAAATCCAGTCATGCCATTCTGCCCTTCACTTCTCCCATTTAATCCCCGACAAGTTATGGAGCTCTGCAAAGCGCAGGCTCTCCTCCCGCGTGTCCTGATGCCTCTATGGCCCCAAAAAAGAGACTACCCAACTGTGTGTGTCTCTAACCACGCTTTTTCCTTTGGCTCCCAACCCGGATGCTCGGCAGGGCTCTTTGCTCCACGTGTTCCCTTCAACTCTTACCCGCCGGACTCTGGGTCCTGAGAGTGATATAGCTACGCAGCTTTTTCAACGCCCGATCTCGAATCCGTTTCTCGTTGGCGGCCAGTCTCTGAGCGAACTGAATCTCCGGAGGCAGCGCGGCGGCGGCGGCGGCGGCGGGTGCCATGCTCCCCTCCTTGCCCCACAGAACGCGCCGCCCCGGCAGGGCTGAGTCCGGCCGCTTGGTCGAACGCCTGTCGATGACGTCGCAGCCACTACTCCGTCGCAAGCATTCTAGGTAACCAAATCGGGCCGGAGCACGTGCAGGAAGCGGCGCTGCGTGGCGCGTGGCAGCGACTGAGATGCGCGTCCGAGCGAAGTCGGGTGGGCGGTGCTTACTGCTTCGAATTCCCGAAGCTTGGCCTTCGACGGGAGGCATCTGTAGAAGGGTGGCGAGAGTAGAAGATGGCGCTTTTTCCACGTCTATTGCGTTTCGCCCTTCGCCCTCCCCACCACTGTATCAATGTCTCTCTAGCGAGGCTGCCTTCTGTGCGTTTGAAGAAGTGAGCTGCAGTCTACGGGAGTGTATGCCAACTAACACTTTTTAGTTTCAAAAAAGGGCTACAAAACTCTTGTTGGTTTTGCTGCTGTTACGTGTTTCTTTGAAATGCCAGGTTGTTTTCGGTGAGTTTACTCTCATGTGAGATCTTCCTGAGCATAATGATATTAAACTAGCTTGAATGTGTGTACGCAGATTTAGCTGGTTTGAAAATTGTCAACTAGCGTGGGAAGAAGCTGTGCGTGTTCTTGCCCAGGATGTCACATACTCTTGACATGCTCACTTCTGTTGATGTATGCTCATGATGAACTGTTTATCTTACAGATACCTGCACAATCTCAGTATACAGTATTCTGAAAAATGCTGTAAACTTGCTTAGTTGTTTAGTTGCGTCCGACTCTTCGTGACCCCATGGACCAAAGCATGTCAGGCCCTCCTGTCTTCCACTGCCTCCCGGAGTGTGGTCAAATTCATGTTGGTAGCTTCAATGACACAGTCCATCCATCTTGCCCTCTGTCGTCCTCTTCTCTTGCATTCACACTTTCCCAACATTGGGCTTTTCCAGGGAGTTTTCCCTTATGAGATGGCAAAAGTATTAGATCCTCAGCTTCAGGATCTGCCCTTCCAGTGAGCACCCAGGGTTGATTTCCTGCAAGATGGATAGGTTTGTTCTTGCAGTTCAGGGAACTCTCAAAGAGTCAAAAGCATCAGTTCTTCAGCGGTCAGCCTTCTTTATGGTCCAGCTCTCACTTCCATACATGGCTACTGGAAAAAACCATAGCTTTGACTATGTGGACTTTGTTGGCAAGGTGATGTCTCTGCTTTTTAAGATGCTGCCTAGGTTTGTCATCGCTTTCCTCCCAAGACGCAGGCATCTTTTAATTTCGTGGCTGCTGTCACCATCTGCAGTGATCATGGAGCCCGAGAAAGTAAAATCTGTGACTGCCTTCATATCTTCCCCTTCGATTTGCCAGGAGGTGATAGGGATCTTAGTTTTTTTGATGTAGCCCCCCCCCAAATTTTCTGAGCCCTAAATAAACATTACAATAGAAAATATTTTGCATTTCAGCAAATATAAGTCTAATAATGAAATTGCCTTCTTGATACTGTAATTTCCTTAAATCCAGAATCAATACTGAGTGAATGCAAACATACAGTATTCTGTGTTCCATTCATTTATACACCAACACTACAAGCTACTGGCCACAGTTCAGTTGTGTAATAGACAGATTTCTTAAATAACATCTATATCCAAGACAACTGTATTGCTTGACACGTATTTCTGTGCTTTTCCACCTTAATGTCCATTGCAAAGTGTTGGAGCATAATACAGTAATAGAAACGAGAAGACGTGCAAGGGTAGGTAGTACTTTTATCAATTGTAATTGTGTGTAGTCAAGTCAATTCGGAATTATAGCTACCCTTTTCAGGGTTTTCTAGGTAAAGAGTACAGTACTCACAAGTCGTTTACCATTCCCTTCTTCTGGAAACAAATTGGGTCTGTCTCAAGGCTGGTTCTTCTGGGTGCACAGGGGGGAATCGAACTCCCAAACTCCGGCTCTGCAGCCAGATACCTAACTCAATGAGCTATCCAGCCTTTGTTAAACCACTAAAATAATAGCTCTATTTTAAAAAAAAACTGAGAAGTGATCAGCAGGCCTTTTGCTATTCATCGAGCAGAGGCGCTGAAACTCTGGAAACTCAAAAATCTTAAGACTACAACTTCCATAATCCTGTAAGTGGCCGTTAGGGATTGAAATCGAAAGCATCGTTACGAGGGATAAAAGGTAACGGCTCTTCTTCTGCCATACATCGCGAACAATGGCCAAGACCTTTTTCAGGGTTTTCCAAGTACAGAATACTCAAAAGTGGTTTACCATTCCCTTCTTCTGGAAACAAATTGGGTCTGTCTCAAGGCTGGTTCTTCTGGGTGCACAGGGGGGAATCGAACTCCCAAACTCCGGCTCTGCAGCCAGATACCTAACTCAACGAGCTATGCAGCCTTTGTTAAACCACTAAAATAATAACTCTATTTTAAAAAAACTGAGAAGGGATCGGCAGACCTTTCACTATTCATCGAGCAGAGGCGCTGAAACTGGAAATTCAAAGTCTTATGACTACAACTTCCATAATCCCGTAAATGGACATTAGGGATAGAAATCGAAAGCATCGTTACGAGGGATAAAAGGTAACGGCTTTTCTTCTGCCATACATCGCGAACAATGGCCAACGACGGACTACTAAGAAGTGCCGTGGCAAGGCAGCGGCCTTTTGGCCCCATTCGGCGACGAGCATCACGTGGGCTGGGCTGGTTATTTGGGGGGGGCGGGGAGAGGGCGGGGCTATTGTCGTTCTGTCCCCCGGAGGGTCGGGCGGTAGCGAGCGGGACGCCGTGGAGGTTAACGCTCCTTTCTTCCAGCCCAGCCTCAGTCGTTCTTGTTGGGTTGCCTTGAAATTGAGGCTGCCTTGGCCTGTGACCGCCTTGGTTCCTTCGCTCTTCTTGCCGGCACCTCGTGAGGCGCGTTTTGCTCCTTTCGTCCTTGCTCCGTCGCCCTCCACAGAGGACGGGAGACCCGTCACCGGATGGCAAGGAGCCAATACTTTAAATCTCTTTAACAACAACAACACACACGCCCTTATTTTACTGTTTTCCACAGAATACATCCGGGGATTTCCTTACCTGTGCTGCTTCTGTTTGGAAGGGTGACCGCCTTGGAATAGGAACAAGATAAAGCAGGGAAAGGGTAACCACCTTGGCCTCAGAGACGAGGGCGGTATGGCCACACGCAAGCTCTCCTCGCCCCTTATTGATTTATTTTATTTATTTATTTAATATAGTTTTATCCCACTTTTCTTAAAAATAACCCAAGGCGGCTGCCGCAAGACGTGACGGAATCACAGATCAGGCAGGGAAAAACGAAATACTAAAAAGCCACAGAGAGGCATCAGGCAGGGGAAGGAAACAGTGGGCATGTGGGGTGAAATTCGCGGTTTCCGGCTTCCTTCCCCCATTTCCCTGAAAATGGCGGCAGTTGCTTTTAAACTGAGCATCAACCAGATACCTAGGTCAAATCTGAGAGAACTGGCTTTGGGCAGGCCAGTAGTTTAGTCTTAATTTTAGAGAATTTATGAGGAAAACAGTAATTAAGGTTTTAATGTTAACTGTACAATCCTGTTGTTGTTTAGTTGTGTCCGACTCTTTGTGACCCCATGGACCAGAGCACACCACACCCTCCTGTCTTCAACTGCCTCCCGGAGTTTGGTCAAATTCATATTGGTACCTTCAATGACACTGTCCAACCGTCTCATCCTCTGTCGTCCCCTTCTCCTCTTGCCTTCATACTTTCCCAACATCAGGGTCTTTTCCAAGGATTCTTCTCTTCCCATGAGATGGCCAAAGTATTGGAGCCTCAGCTTCAGGATCTGTCCTTCCAGTGAGCACTCGAGCCTGATTTTCTTCAGAATGGATACATTTGATCTTTTTGCAGTCCAAGGGACTCTCAAGAGCCTCCTCCAGCACTACAATTCAAAAGCATCAATTTTTCAGCAGTCAGCTTTCTTTATGGTCCAGCTCACACTTCCATACATCACTACAGGAAAAACATAGCTTTCACTAATCGGTCTTTTGTCAACAAGATGATGTCTCTGCTTTTTAAGATGCTGTCGAGGTTTGTCATGTCTTTCCTCCCAAGAAGTAGGCATCTTTTAATTTCATGGCTGCTGTCACCATCTGCAGTGATCATGGAGTCCAAGAAAGTAAAATCTCTCACTGCCTCCATATCTTCCCCTTCTATTTCCCAGGACGTGATGGGACCAGTGGCCATGATCTTAGTTTTTTTGATGCTGAGCTTCAGACAATTTTTGAACTCTCCTATTTTACCCTCATTAAGAGGTTCTTTAATTCCTCCTCACTTTCTGCCATCAGAGTGATATCATTTGCATATCAGAGGTTGATGATATTTCTTCTGGCAATCTTAATTCTGGCTTGAGATTCCTCCACTCTGGCCTTTCGCATGATGTATTCTGCATATAAATTAAATAAGCCGGGGTACAATATACAGCCTTGTCATAACTCTTTCCCAATTTTGAACCAACCAGTTGTTCCATAGCCAGTTCTAACTGTGGCTTCCTTTCCCACATTATCATTAGGTAGATAAGGTAGTCAGGCACTTCCATTTCTTTAAGGACTTGCCATAGTTTGCTGTGGTCCACACAGTCAAAAGCTTTTGCGTAGTCAATGAAGCAGAAGTAGATATTTTTCTGGAACTCTGGCTTTCTCCATAATCCAGCGCATGTTAGCAATTTGGTCTCTAGTTCCTCTGCGCCTTCGAAATCCAGCTTGTACTTCTGGGAGTTCTTAGTCCCCATACTGCTGAAGCCTGTCTTGTAGGATTTTGAGCATAACCTTGCTAGCATGTGAAATTAGTCCAATTAGATGGTAGTTGTAGCATTCTTTGGCATTGTCCTTCTTTGGGATTGGGATGTAGACTGATCTTGTACAATCCTATACATGTCTACAATTTAGGAGTAAGTTCTATTCAGTTTGCCTTGTAAACAGGTATGGGATTGTAATCTATGTTACTTAATTGCTTATATCAATCAACTTTAAAAATATTAAGTGGAACTGAAACTATGCCTCCCAATTAGCAGTGCCACAAGGATTTACAAGGGAGTGCTCCACTTCCCTATCATAGAATAATGCCTGCCTCATCTAAACTAGTGTTTACTGTGTGATGCATGAATGGAGCACCTAAAACCAAAGTGCATTTTTTCAAAGCAATTGTTTTAGGTTTTACCAGTGATTATAGATTCACTGTATGAAGTGATTAAAAGTAATAGAATTTAATCAAATAACACTTATTTAACTGGCTGGTGGCCCCAGAACAGTCCTATTCACTAAAAATGAGTGATGTAAAGCACTTTAATACAATTTTGTAGTGATCAGTGGTTTTAAATTTTAGCCACTTCTGAAAACTTAGGAAGGTCAAGCAAAATAGATGCAGGATTAAATAGTTTTCTGGTTCAAGTGAGATGGTTGACCACTGAGGCATGAATAATAATTTTGTACCACCTGAAAATAAAGAGTATTGTCTAGACCAGTGGTTCTTAACCTTGGGTCTCCAGAGTTTCTTGGACTAAAGCTCCCAGAAGCCTTCACCACTAGTTGTGCTGGCCAGAATTTCTCGGAGTTTTAAGAACATCTAGGGACCCAAGGTTGGAAATCACTGGTTGAGATGTAATCCTATGCTTGTTTCTCTAGAAATAAGCTCCATGTAATATAGAAGAGAATGTCTAAGTAAAAATATATTGGATACAGTGATATGATGTGTTTTGCCACTGGAAGGTGCTTCAGTTTGTACTAGTAATAACTCACAGATCTTGAAAAATACCAGTTTGAACAAACTTGGCATACATTATATATGGCACCTCTGTCTGTTTCACAGAGGTACAAATTTCTTTAATGGAAGGAACTTAGGAATTAGTATGCCACTGGAGGTTTAAAGTCTGCACTCAAATATACTGTATTGTCGGGCTTATGTGAACAAACCGTATTTTTGTCTTCTTTCCTCTCCTCTGATGCAACCAGAAGGAAGAGATTGGAATTCAACATGAATGAAATTTGTGGGAGTGAGGGGGACATTTGGAGATTTGGAGTAGCGTCATCAATATGTTGAGAACGTATGTCTGGGAATTGGTTACACAACCTGTTCTAGATACATAGTGCTCCCCTGGATGGAACAGTTTCACAATCAATACACTATTTTTTGATTCAAAGCTATCACTGGGGGCCCAAATGGTGTCAGCAGTAAGGAGCACTTATGGTTAGCTACTGCTTGTTCACCAGCTACAGCCATTTCTGGACCAGGATAGAATGGTGATAGTAGTCCATGTCCTGATATGCGCCTGGTGGTTGATTACAATGCTGTTTACATGGATCTGCCTTCAAAGATGGTCCAGAGCTTGCAGCTGGTACAGAGTGCTGCCGTCCATGTATTGATGGAAGCAGCAACAGGTAAGTATATTACAGCAGTCCTGAAAATCCTGGATTGGCTGTTGGTTGATTGAATTCAGTTCAAGAGGTTAGTATTAATATACAAAGCAATAAATGGTTCAGGTTTCAGGTATTTGAAGGATTGTCTTCTCCAAGATTTAAGATTGGGTGAAGGAAGTCAGTTTTGATTCTTTTGGTAAGTGTAATGGATAGGGCAACCATGAAACAGCTTTCTTGATGGTGTCACCCCAGCTATGGACCTAAGTGAAACTCTGGTTGTCCTCCATTCCCTGTGGTCATTTGCATGCCATTTGAAAATGTTTATTGGTGTAAGCCTTTCAGGGAAAGGCAGGTACTACACTTTTATTGTTAAGTAACGGTTTGTCATTTTATGACTACCATTTATTTGGTTGTCTCCTATCTTGTATATAATTTTAATAGCGTTTATGTATCAGACTGAAATTTTATGAAAGTTGTTTGCCACCCTGGGGTCTTGGGGAGGAATGGTAGAATATAAAATGAATAATTGTTGTTCTTTTGTTGCAGAAAGTTGAAATACAAGAGGAATTTGTAAAAGTCAGAAAGAGAGCTTTGGAGAGGCTGACAACTGAAGTGATGCAGTTGCATGATATTTTGCCCAAAATAGCGAATAATGATGTCTTAGACAGTCTTCAGAAACTGGATGCTGTTGAAACAAGTGAGGCTGCAGTATTAGCTAGCATTATTTTTTATTTAGTATTACCATACTGAGTGTGGAGTTTCTCTCTCAACAGCAGTTTCTTGGGGATCATGAGTGGAAGAGTACTATTAGACTCATGTCCTGTTCATCTTGTCAGGAAGCTCCCCTTAATATTTAGTCACCATCCAGTTTCTTGTAATTTAAGTCCTTTGGTTTGAGTGCTACTCTGTGGAGAAACAGAGAACAAATGTACTCCATTTTCTATGTAGCAGCCTTTCAAATATTTGGAAATTATATCTTGTTGCCTTTAGGCCGAATGTGCTTTTCCTTCAATAATTTGTTGTTCAGACCATCTATTTTTGTTATCATCTCTGGACATATGATCTTGGCTGCTGATTACTTAACTAACATTAAATTGTAGAATATTTTCTCTTCCTTGTCTTACTTTTTCACTTATGCTGTGTTTTTTAGTTGTTGAAAGGAAAGAACATGAACTGGAGCAGATGAGAATAGATTGTGAACACTATAAAGCCCGTTTAGAAGCAGCCCAAGCAGATTGTACAAAAGAAAGAAAGGTGGATAAACTTTTTCTTTGCAACATAGTCCATTAATCTATTCAGCTGTAATTACTGGTATTCATCTTTGAGATATTATTTGCAATCTTAATTTGTCTGTGTTGACAAAGGCTTCACTGAGTTTAGTAGGGCTTACTACCAGGTAAATTTATGTTGAGTAATATTCTCTGTTAAATGTTTAGATTGCAGTCTTATACTCACTTTTGTCCAGTAGAGAAATGAGGCAAGAAGTGCCCATGATAACTACCCTTGTAGTGGAACTGGAAGGGAATTGTTTCCACAGGTCTGTACTTAGGTACTCTACCTCCATGATACCAATAGTACTAATGACTTAATTTCTGGCATGCCATATGGCTGTCCAGCCAGCTACATGAACCATCACAGCACTGGGGACTCATAGTCCCTTTAACTTGCCACCCCCAGAGCTTGCAGAATCCAGGCTTAGTTCCAAAGACAGATGTATGGAATTGCATTGTTAACGTATCATCCTATAGTATGAGTTCTGGGTTGTTGCTAAGCTTTCATGCAGACTAACCCAAAATAAAACTGAAAGTAATAAATACTAAAAGCATACTGTACTGCTTATATAGTGCTCCATAATGCTTAGAGCACTTTCTAGGTGGTTTACAAGTTAATTATGCAGGCTACATATGAAAGGAATACTAGTAGATCTTATGACTGAAACAATTTTGTAGGGTAATTTCTTAGATGTTTCCATTTTTCCACACAAGTGAGGCGAGCTTTGCTTTGCTGTACCTGCCTCCACTGCTAGCCCAGCTTGCTTGTGCTGTCAACCACTGCATGAAACATGATTTTGGGCAACAGGACGTAGAGAGGTAAGAATGGACAACAATCAGCACTGTTCACTTGTGTGGCCTTTTTTGAAATTAGAATTAGATTCCATTTTCAACGCTATATGTGTCTTGTGAGGTGTGCACACCAAAGTTGGCTGCCACATATATGTCCAGTGGGTTCTTTCATCACATGGTAATGTGTGCTACAGGAGACTTGATATACCAGCAAATATGTTCCTCCAGAGCCATGATATTTGGGAGAATTTGGTCAGAAGAAGTTGGAACTTCTTGAGAAGTCTTATTAGGTGTGTCTAAACAGTATTCTCCAGCATCAGTCATCACTTTATATTTACTTTGATTATTTCAGGAAAAATTAACTGTCCGACAGCACTTGAATGAGGCAAAGCAACAATTATTGCAGCAAGCAGAGTATTGTACAGAAATGGGTGCTGCAGTATGCACATTGTTATGGAGCATTTCTAGCAATGAAGAAGCAGTTAAAAATATTCTAGGAAGTGTAAGTTGGATAACTTCAATTTTTATTCATCAAGTATTCTAGATAAATAGCATTTAACTTAGAAACTTTTAAAAACATGTATCTTCACTTTGTAGTCTACTTAGAATCCATAGAGGACAGCTAGTTGTTTGACTAAATTTACTATTCAAGCCTTTTAAAAGGTTGTTTATGAAATGTGGGATATTGCTCTGTATCTACCATTCAAAATGCCTGGAAATGGCTCAACATTGCTTTGCAATATTGTGCCTGCACTGCCAGTAGGAAAGGACAGTGAAGAGTAAAGGAATATTTTCAGGCTATGAATTTGACCCTACAATGTTGCAAGGTGAGTACAACCCCCTCTAGAACTCCTTCATATAAATCATTTCCCTAGTAAAATAGTTTGTATATTTGCTAGAGTTGCTGGAGATTTAATGTCATTGGAAACCTTTTATCTTAATGGAGGTGCCTTGAATAAATAATGAGTTGAAAAGATCACTTGCTTCTCTGTACCTGAGCATCTCCTCATGTTTTGTTAAGTGTTAAACATTACAAAAGCTAACTGTTGTTTAGAAGTGTGCAACTTTGGAATAATAATAGTGTTTTTTCTTCATAAACTTTCAGAATAAAGCCATAATTTTTTTTAATATCGCTGGACAAACAATGGAGAGTTATGTGAGATCATTAAGTGACGATATCAAACAACAGGATATGGATTCTGATGAAAGTCAGTTTGTGTTAGGTTTAGCAGGGATTGTTACAAGTAAGTAACTTAAGCATCATAGGAAGAATAAAAGGTATCAAATGTAAACCAACCATCCTACACAAACACACACACAGACACACACACACACAAGTAATAGTTTTTCAAATATTTTTCAGTTTCATAAAATGTAGATTTTGTAGTTTACTTTTAATCTTACAAAAACTGACCTCACCATATTAATGACTCTACTTGAGAACATGTGTGCTCATATGATCATTGTGACTTTCAATAGTTGAATAAGGTAACAAGTAAAATAGTTCTGCTTTCCAAAGTTGTAAATTGAATTTGTTTCACCCACTAGCATACATTGCATACTAGAGATGAGCACAAATCCGAAAAATGGTGATTTGTTTTGATTTGTGATTCATCAAGGTTGACGAACTACAAATTTAATTTTTTTTATGAATCAGTAAATCAGTTTGTCAATTTGTTTTATATTCTAAGACCCTATAAAATGGCCCCTCCCTGAGCACATACAGACACCAAATTCAGCATCCCCTGACCCTTCTTTACAAGACCTGCAAGTTTGGTAAAGTTTGGGTTTCAGACGTCCAAGTTATACACTCACAAGGAGAGCCCCCCCAAATCCCCCATGAAAATCCCCCCCAGGCACCTAGGGACACCAAAATCACAGAGAAGCTTCTACTGACCCTCTTCTATAATCCATCCAAGTTTGGTGAAGATTGAGTTTCAGACGTCCAAGTTATACAGCCATAAAGTGTGTCCCCCAGGAAACTGCCCTTTACAAACCGACTTGGGGAAACCCATATTCACCAAACATGGAGGGATTGTAGAGGAGAGCCAGTAGAAGCTTCTCTGTGGCCTTGGTGTCTCTAGGTGCCTGAGGGGAACTAACCTGGGGGTGTATAACTTGAACATCCAAAACCCAATCTTCACCAAATTTGGAGGGCTTGTAGAGGAGAGGCAGAGGAAGCGCCCCTGCAATTCTGGTGTCTCTAGGTGCATTGGGAGCCATTTTATAGCCCAATGAATAAAGAATTGCTAAATATTCATTGATTTGTAATTGTCGGGGGCATTGATTCATACAGATACGACTCAATGAATTAGCAATTTTGAATGCATTTGGTGATTCATTTTTCAATTTGTGCCCATCTCTATTGCATATTACTAATGATTCTGATATTCACTTGAATTTAAATAACGCCAAAATCCTGTTGTTTATCATAAGCCAAATCGTAACTTTCAGTATGTTCCTCCCTGGTGAACAGAATGTTCCTGCTGCAGTTCTCAAGATGTTCATGCGCATGCATCAACTCAGCATGCATTTGCACCCTGAAAAATAATGTCAGAGGCTTTGTTTAACAGGGAGGCATGTACTGAAAGTTATGATTATCTTATGCTAAACAACAAGTCCTTAGCCAATTTCTTGTGAATAGAATAATACTGCACACTTTTAAATTAAAGCCAGGCAACTTCGATGAGTCCTGGGGCAAAAATTTGACCCTAGCACCGATCATATGTCTGGAAAAACACAAAATAGCTAAGAAAGTAAAAGGAAAAAGAAAACCAGAAGGACTGGGATTTCAGTTTCTCATTTCAATTTTGGGGTTTCTAAGGGTTTTCTAGATTTCCCCAGTATTTTAATGTAGAAAGCAATACCTGGATGTCCCCAGGAATGCAAAAGCATTTTTTTCTTACAAAATTCTTTTTCTACCACAGGGAGAGGGTTCTGTGGCGGCCTAAGGACTGCAGAAAAAACATTGGGAAGCATGTGTGCCCATGGGCCACATTTTGCCTGTTCCTTCTTTACATGGAATATAGATTCACATTTGCAAGTGTCCCTTCAGATCTAAAACAAGAACATGTTTTAAAACTTATTTCAATGTTCTTATTGCAGTACTTAAAGCTACCAATGTACTATTGCCAGTCACCTATATAGCAAAGTAAAACTTGGTTTTGTTATAAATCTCGGCAAATCTCTGGCTGAAATCCAGAATACAGTAAGGTGCAACTAGGTTAGAATAGACACTGGATTCCCATTGTGGTGATAGATTGAAGGACTAGGACTCTGGAGAACAGGGTTTGAATCACCACTTGGCCATGGAAACCTATTGGGGAAGTTCAACTAGTAAAACCATTCCTTTAAATATCTTACTTACCTTGAAAGCCCTATTAGCGTTGCTGTAAGATTTCCTACTGGATAGCACAAAACACACAGAATAAACCAGTTGAATCAGTGGAACATATGGGAGAGTTGACTCAACAAATCCCCACTGAGTTAGTGGGCCTGCAATTTACTACTGGATTTCAATCTCTGGATTTGGCACCTTGATTCTTGACTGTCTTAAGAAATATCCTGTCCATTATGAGCTGCCACAGCACTTTATTATTGTACTCCAAATTCCACCTTACGTTAAGACACTTTAGGTCCCACCAGAGAAGTGAGTCTTCTTTATACCAGTCCTCTTATAGTATATAAAATACAGCCTCAAAACTAACTGGTTTCTTTCCTGAACTTTCTGTGGATTTCATTCTTCCAATTTTATTTTGTATTTTATCATGAAATTGCATTTTTTATGCTTTAAGGCTTTTTATTATTGAAATTAATATGAAAAACAGTTTAGTAAATAAATAGAAGCTCTGCTTGTTCAATTCACTGCCTTTGTCACATGAAACTTTTTGAGCAAATGGTCAAACTGCTTGAAGCCTTTATATAATTTATTTATTTAATTTATTTATTTTATTTGTACCTCGCCCATCTGGTCCTACAACCACTCTAGGCGGCTTCCAATACGACATAACAGCAAATAAAAAATAACACAAGAATTATTACATAAAATATCTTCCAACAATTACAAGACAGAAGATAGAGTAAAAATAAATAAGAAAAAATAAGGAGAGAAAAAGATCAGGTATTGACTGGAGGGAAGGCCTGAATAAACATCCATGTTTTTAGTTGGTTTTTAAAGATACGTGAGAGGTGATACAATTAAATACGATGTGAACATATTCTACATACAGTACTGAATGTTAGTTTGTGAGGAATTAATTTCAATAATACTAATCCATATTAATTTCCAACAGTTACAGAATTTTCAGTGCTACTGTTAGATCATAAAATTCTGCAGTATAGAACTCTTCTGACGTGTGGTGTTTATGCTCTTATTTTGTATTCTCCCCATAGATGTAGCTGCTTTAGCATGTGGCCGTGAATTCCTGGTTAATTCAAATCGGGTTTTATTGGACACAATGATGCAGCTTCTAGGAGACATGAAACCAGGATGGTGCCCCAAACTGAAAGTGTATGGTGACTAATTTTTTTAATAAAATAAAGCTAGTTGTTTACAATCTGATATATCAGAGCTTATGTACAGTGGTGCCTCGCTTGACAATTACCTCGTTAGATGAGGAAATTGCTTTACGATGAAGTTTTTGTGATCACAAAACAATGTTTTAATAGGGAAAAACCGGTTAATGACGATTGGTTCCCTTCTTCGGGAACTGATTTTTCGCTTAATGACGATCTGTACAGCTGATCGTAGGGTCTTCAAAATGGCTGCCCGCTGTGCAAAATCGCTCCCCGCTGTGTTTTAGGACGGATTATTAACATTACAGGCACCGGGAAATGGCCACCCTATGGAGGATCTTCACTGGACGCTGAGGTATTTCACCCATTGGAATGCATTGAATCGGTTTTCAGTGCATTTCAGTGGGATTTTTACTTTCGCTTGACGATGATTTCGTTCTACAGCGATTTTGCTGGAACAGATTATCCTCGTCAAGTGAAGCACTGCTGTAGTTTAGTAGAATAGGTAAGTGTATGAGCTGGAACTGGTGGCTAATCAGTTTAAAGAAGTCACTATTGTTCAAACTCAGATCCTACACTCATTGTCTGAAATGCACAATATGTAAAATAATACTTTCCTGCCATACCCTGTGAAATGAAAGTACAGTATCTATCTATCTGTCTGTCTGTCTGCCTGCCTGCCTGCCTGCCTGCCTGCCT